TTTTCTTATGAAATGATAGAGAATCTTTTCCCGATGGTAATGACACCAAAAGTACAAAATTTGGTCGAAAACTCAGGGAATTACGCTCCCGCGAAGTTAGCGGTCTCAACGACATGTATGTATTGGCGATTTCGCCGACTTTGAGCCCTGTTTTTGACCAATTCCGTTGTTCCAGTTGACCAAACTCATAGCTATTTCTTTAGAACTCCATTTTTTTCAATCAGTTGAGTACAAGAAACTGCCCATTTACCTATTTGAACTACCCAATAAAGTGTTCAGAAATTGGCAATTTGGCCAATTTCACTCAAATTAGAAAAGATGCCAATTTCAAAATAGGGTCCAGAATAAACAATGTAGGCATTCTTGGCACTAAAATACGTAACATATCCTCTGTTCATTAGTCACGTCTCTAGGCCCCTCTTATATTACTATTGCTTTCTATTTTGATTTTTTATTCATACAAAAAAAAATACAAAATTTGCTGTTTTGCAGACTACTGCATTATTGTAAAAATGGTATAAATAATATCAGTAAACTAGTAAAAGAATATTAGACCCCCCAGTTGATGTGTATTGGATGTATGGTGTGATTTTCTTACTCTTGAGCATTGGTAAAAATCGAACATTTCTGCTACTTTGAGCTCAATTTCAAGGTCTTTTCTTCGTGAAAGTAATCAAAATCATCTCTACTTCTGTAACATGTTTTCCATTTTATCACCTAATACCATGAAAGCGAGAATACAACAATAAATACTATACGAAAATACACCTCAAAGTCGGCATTTTAATCCAAAAAAAACGCTCAGTTTTTTTTCTCATTACGCACTGCGTGCTGCAGGATTTTTTTTATGTGGTGCACACTGACCACACAGACCCATTCTCTCACATGTTGGCCTACAAGCTTTCTCCCACTTGATTTGAAGCCGCTAGAATTTACGCGTATAAATACGTCAGAAACAGTGGCGTGGAAGATGTATATATGTGACCGAAACAGTCAAAGGGTAAATGAAAATGTCTGTAACAGCATAATATATGATATTAAAAGCACTCCAGAGCACATTATTATTATTATTGTTGTTATTGTTGTTGTTATTGTTTTTGCCATCGACGTACCTTGTTCACTGAGTTTAAAGATGGATCAATGAAAATGTCTATGGTAACATAATACATATACGACATTAAAAGCTCTCCAGAGCAATTATTATTATTATTATTATTATTATTATTATTATTATTATTATTATTATTATTATTATTATGCATATTGACATCGACATATGTTCATTGAGTGTAAAGATGGATTAATGAAAATGTCTATAACATATGATATTTAAAGTGCCCCAGAGTGATTATTGTTATTATTATTATTATTGTATCAATCGCATCTGCTAGAAAAATGACAGGATGGATAATGAGAACCTTCAAAACTAGGGAGGCCAAGCCCATGATGAGACTCTTCAGGTCACTTGTTCTATCTAGGCTGGAATATTGCTGCACACTAACAGCACCTTTCAAGGCAGGTGAAATTGCCGACCTAGAAAATGTACAGAGAACTTTCACGGCGCGCATAACGGAGATAAAACACCTCAATTATTGGGAGCGCTTGAGGTTCCTAAACCTGTATTCCCTGGAACGCAGGAGGGAGAGATACATGATTATATACACCTGGAAAATCCTAGAGGGACTAGTACCGAACTTGCACACGAAAATCACTCACTTACGAAAGCAAAAGACTTGGCAGACGATGCACCATCCCCCCAATGAAAAGCAGGGGTGTCACTAGCACGTTAAGAGACCATACAATAAGTGTCAGGGGCCCGAGACTGTTCAACTGCCTCCCAGCACACATAAGGGGGATTACCAACAGACCCCTGGCAGTCTTCAAGCTGGCACTGGACAAGCACCTAAAGTCAGTTCCGGATCAGCCGGGCTGTGGCTCGTACGTTGGTTTGCGTGCAGCCAGCAGCAACAGCCTGGTTGATCAGGCTCTGATCCACCAGGAGGCCTGGTCACAGACCGGGCCGCGGGGGCGTTGACCCCCGGAACTCTCTCCAGGTAAACTCCAGGTAGTGTTATTATTATTATTATTCTTTCTTCTTTCAACACACCGGCCGTATCCCACCGAGGCGGGGTGGCCCAAAAGGAAAAAACAAAGTTTCTCCTTTCAAATTTAGTAATATATACAGGAGAAGGGGTTACTAGCCCCTTGCTCCCGGCATTTTAGTCGCCTCTTACAACACGCATGGCCTACGGAGGAAGAATTCTGTTCCACTTCCCCATGGAGATAAGAGGAAATAAACAAGAACAAGAACTAGAAAGAAAATAGAAGAAAACCCAGAGGGGTATGTATATATACACTTGTACATGTATGTGTAGTGTGACCTAAGTGTAAGTAGAAGTAGCAAGACGTACCAGAATTTTTGCATGTTCATGAGACAGAAAAAAGGACACCAGCAATCCTACCATCATGTAAAACAATTACAGGCTTTCGTTTTACACTCACTTGGCTGGACGGTAGTACCTCCCTGGGCGGTTGCTGTCTACCAACCTACTACCTAGGATTATTATTATTATTGTTAATATGTATTATTATTGTTATTATTAGTAGTAGGAGTAGTAGTAGTAGCAGTAGTAGTAGTAGTAGTAGTAGTAGTAGTAGTAGTAGTAGTACGTACTAGTATACCTGGAGTATACCTAGAGAGGGTATCAGGGGTCAATGCCCCCGCACCCCAGTCTGAGTAGTAGTTACAGTTATAAGTATATAAAATGTGCAGCAACTAAAACACTTGAAATTTTGGAAAGTTTCCAGACATAGTCAAGAGACAGGGAGCTCGTGAAGGATGTCAACGAACAGAGTGACACTCGGACGCCATAATAACGAATTAGATTTTTTAGATTTTGCCACCGAGGTGGCTAGTTTATTGTGCACCCCATATCCATCCTGTGGAGGGTAGCGCAAGAGCATATGGATACACAAAAGGCCTAGGAACTAGACCCCAAAAGGGTTAACAGGTGTACATATGGATTTATATCTACATATCTACAGTTCACTTATCTGTTACGAGCAAATTCAGGAAATTGGCTTGTACATATCTGGTATCTTATTTTCATTAATAAGATATCTTGACATGTCACATAGGTTATTATACTGTCTATCTCTGTATTCCTCAATAAGTGAACAGTTAAGCACATAGTGTTCAAGAGAGTGATCATATGCCTGATCACATAATTTGCATTTTAGTTTGATCATCATCTGTGTGTCTCCCAAACTGCCAGAAGTATACTTGTAACCAAGCTTAAGCCTGGCCACTGCAACATCAGTCAGTCTGTTCACATTGCAAGTTGCTCCATAAACATACTTATCTACATTCATGTTATCATAGTGGGTTATAGATCTACTCAGGCTTCTTACTGCATTTCTATAACAGTCATTTTAATTATTTATTTCTCTCGTAATATTATTCCTAATGCCAGACACAGATATGCCAAAGTTATATTCTACTTTCTCCTTCTGGGTACTCTTCTTGGCTAACATATCAGCTTTATCATGAAGGAGTAATCCAATGTGTGATGGGATCCATAGCAATTGTACATTAATTCCTTTGTCTCAGATTTTTGGGTATTTATGCCTGGCTTCTCCAATGAGCATGTTGTTGGAGTCATAAGAGTCAAGAGCCTTCAATGATGACATAGAATCAGTAATGATGATCGAGTCAAGCTCAGTGTCATAAATTAGTTTTAGTGCCATTAGAATTGCAAACAATTCAGTTTGCAGTGTAGACGCCCAGTTGTTAATTCTTATGCCTAGTTCAACAAGTTTATTATCGTTCTTAACTGGGGAGGTGGCAACAAGAACAGATGCAGCCTTGCCAGAAGACTCCTGTTTAGAGCCATCAGTGTATATAACTTGTGATAACTTATTACTACCAGCTAGGAAAGAAATTTCTTCTTGAGCAGTTGCTTTAACAAGTGATTTAAGGAAGGGATTACTAGCAATGAGCTTCTTGGGAGGGACTTACAGGTATGTGATATTAACCCTTAAATGGTCCAAACGTATATATACGTTTTTTCAACATCTGAAAGTATGTAAAAAAATGTAGATCTTTTTTTGTTTTGTTTTACATGTGAAAACGTGTAAAAAAACTTTTATCTACATTTTTTTTGTTATATTTGAAAATGTGTAAAAAAAAGTAGATCTACTTTTGTAGCACTACGAATTTGAACGTCGATCTGTTTGGACCGTTTAAGGGTTAAATGAACACATCTTCCATGAAGGGGTGAAATGCTTTTGTTGTCTACAGTGATACAGGTCATGCAGGTTATAAAACTTAATGCAGTTGCACGTTTTCACAATCCATTTAGATCTGTGTGTATTTACTTCTAGACACTTAGAAAGATTCATTGTGACAGTGTCTGGTTCATTTCTTAACATTCTAATACCGAGTACAGTGTTAATCTCAACAATCCTATCACTGATACTAGAAATACTTCCTCATATTAAGAACCTTTGCAGATTTGGGACAGCCAAAAATAATTCTGAGAGCTTCATTTTGCATTAACTCTTGCTTTCAAAAGTTGCCTTGCCTTACTAATATGTGGATGAACCAGAGCTGTTTGTTGGGGATTTGGCAACCTTGAAGGTAGCATTGAAATACATAATCTTTCCATTCTGGTGCAATTGCATTCCATTCCATTCTGGTGGAATTGCACCTCTTCATTAGTGTACATGATGTGCCTGTGCTGGTCTATTTTAATGTTATTTCATACAGAGTTTTGTAATAGAGCCTGAGTTTTAGTGTCTAAGTTGTTTTACCAACATTCTTGATCAAAAATAAAAAAAGTTGAATTTGGTTATGAGGATGCATTTGATGAATTGACAATTGAAATATATCTGTTTAATGATAAGGCAGTGTTTCTCATCCAAAGCCAGTGTCACCATGCTATGCTCTTCCACATTCTCTGTACATATTTGCATTCTTATATAGTGTATCATGTCCTCAGGTATACCACATTTGAAGCAGTTTCATCAGGCAGTTTGATGGGGAAAGCAGCTGTCAGGTGTTATCTGATGCTCGAGTGTCCCATCAAAGTCAACCTCTCGCATGTACAAGCTAGATGGGATTTATGAAGAAATTGCATGTTAAGTTTGATCTCATTACAGTCTGCAATGTCCTTTCGGGAAATAAGAAGTAAGAACCTTATGAATCTTGTAAAAAACTGTATTATGTAGGTGTGTTACATTACATATTTAGTTCTTAATGGAAGCCAATAGTTTCAGGAGCAGAACTATGTTTGTGATGTCTTCTTTTTTTAGGTGTGCTGCACATTTCTAAGTTTACAATTGTAGCCTCTTTCTCACACTGTTAATAAATTCAAATTCAAATTCAAAGTTTATTCTCTATAAAGATTACAATGTTGAATTTACAGAATTTGGTTGTTGTGTGGTTTACACGTAGTTAAATAGTGATTACAGAGTGTACCACTAGAACGCCTAGCATGGCTAGGCATTTCGGGCAGACTTAGTTTAATTCTTTATTTTAAAATATTACAGATTATGAGGTAAGTTGGTATTATGGCTAAGTGACTAAATACTAGTTTGTGAGTTTAGCAATGTGAATGCTTTTGTTTTGGCACAGTACATAGTTTCAGTATTGGAGTATCATAGGATTCATTATTTTAAGATTGAGATTAATATTTCTGTTTATGGTCAAATGGGTGAGTGAGTGTAAGTGGTATTTGTGTAGTTAGTTGATGGGGTTTATCAGGGAGATAAGATGTTTTCTAATGGTAGTTTTGAAGGTGATGAATGTGTCTGCAGTTCTAGAGTTCTCAGGTAGGGTGTTCCAGATTTTAGGGCCTTTGACATACATTGAATTTTTGTAAAGTTTTAGTCGGACATGGGGAATGTCGTAGAGATGTTTGTGTCTGGTGTTATGCCTGTGGGTTCTGTCACAACTATCAAGAAAGCATTTTAGGTCAAGGTTGATATTGGAGTTTAAGGTCCTGTAGATGTAGATTGCACAGTAGTAAGTGTGGATGTACTGAACAGGGAGTAAGTTTAGATCTATGAAGAGTGGGGGGGTGTGTTGCCAGGGATGGGATTTAGTGATTATTCTTACTGCAGCTTTTTGTTGGGTTATTATTGGCTTTAGGTGTGTTGCTGCAGTTGATCCCCAAGCACAAATAGCATAGGTGAGGTATGGATAAATAAGTGAGTGGTATAGTGTGAGAAGGGCATTTTGCACGTAGTATCGTATCTTGGAGAGGATCCCAACTGTTTTGGATACTTTTTTGGTTATGTGTTGGATATGGGTGCTGAAATTCAGGTTGTTGTCAAGGTATAGGCCTAGGAATTTGCCCTCATTATGTCTGGTAATTAGAGTGTTGTCGATCTTAATGTTAATTTGTGCATCTCCTGCTCTGCTACCAAACATAATATAGTAGGTTTTGTCAGTGTTAAGCGTAAGTTTATTGGCTGTCATCCAAGTCGATATTTTGATCAGCTCCTCGTTAACAATGGTGTTGAGGGTGGCAAGATTAGGGTGAGAGATGACATAAGTTGTGTCGTCAGCAAAGAGAATGGGTTTCAGGTGTTGGGATACGTTTGGAAGATCGTTGATGTATATGAGGAAGAGCAGGGGACCAAGGACACTTCCTGCGGAACTCCAGTATCAAGTGGCCGTGTTGTTGATGCTGTGTCTTTAATGGTAACATATTGATACCTATTAGTAAGGTAAGATTTGAAATAAGCAAGCGCATGGCCTCTTATACCGTAATGGTCAAGTTTGTGGAGTAGGATGTCGTGGTCTACTGTGTCAAAAGCTTTTCTTAGGTCAATAAAAATTCCTAGTGGATATTCCTTATTTTCCAATGCTGTGTAAAGCAGATCTAGCATTTTTATGATTGCATCATTAGTGCTTTTATTTTTCCTAAATCCAAATTGGCAGGGGTTGAGTATGTTTTGTGCTGTTATAAATGAATATAGCCTCCTGTGCACGAGTTTCTCAAAGATTTTGGATAGCAATGGTAAGTTTGATATTGGCCTATAGTTGTTTAAGTCTGTAGGGTCACCACCTTTATGTATTGGTGTAACCCTTGCCATCTTGAGTAGTTTCGGGAAGGTGCTAGTTTCTAGGGACTTGTTAAAAAGTAATGAAATAGCATGCGAAAGGATATGGGCCGCTCGCTTGTACAGTAATGGTGGGACATTAGACAGATTCCCTGAGTTGTTTTTAAGTGACTTTATAATCTCGGTGACTTCCGAGGGCTCAGTTGGTGCAAGATAGAAGGAATTTGGGAAATTCCATCTAGGTAGTCCCCGGCATGGGCATTAGTATGTGGGATTTTATTGGCGAGATTAGATCCTATGGTTGAGAAGAAGTCGTTTATCTTGTTAGCTGTGTCAGTGGGATGTAGTGGTGTTTCATTAGGTTTAGTTAGGACAATATTCTTGTTTTTTTTTCAGTTTGTGGGTCCCTAGAATCTGAGAGAGTGTTTTCCAGGTCTTTTTTATATCTCCTCTAGTGTCTGTGAATCTACTGGAGTAGTATAGTTGTTTGGCTTTCTTTATTACTTTGGTGAGAACTGATGAATAATGTTTAAGAATATCTTTGTGTATTAAGCCCTGTCTATATTGCTTTTCATATTGGTGTTTCTTGTCAATGGACTTCAGAATGGTGCTGGTTAGCCATGGGCAACCAAGCCGTTTGTTTGTGATCTGTTTCGTTTTTATAGGACAATGTTTGTTGTATAGTCTAAGTAATTTGTTAAGAAAAATGTCTGTCCAGTCATCAATACCATTGGCCTTGGAGAATTCTGTAGGCCAGTCAACAATCTCTAGGTCAGTTGTGAACTTCCTTATTGAGGCCTCGTCATGGAGTGTAAATGAGACTTTGTTGTATTCAAGTGGTGGTTTATTAATGTTTGTCAGGAGGAAGGTAGGGTAGTGGTCTGTAGTGCTATCTGTGATTATCCCTGATTTAAGGGGGGCTAGTATATTGGTCCATATGTGGTCTATTATGGTTGCACTTGTCTCAGTGAGCCTGGTTGGTTTAGTTATTGTTGGTATGAGAAGTGTGTTGTTCATATTGTTGATGAAATCAGTTACAGGCTGATCATCTAGTAAGCCAAGGTTGATGTTGAAGTCTCCAGCTAAGAGAAGGTGGTGCTTATTCATTTGTCTGTTTGTTATTAGTGACTTTAATTTCTCACTGAAATTTGGGATGTTTGTGTGAGGTATCCGGTAAATGGCACCGATTGTTATAGGTGTCTTAAGGTTTTTTACAGTAAAATTAGCAAAAATGTATTCCCCATATTCATCACTAAAGCAAGTGGTGCTAATACAAGATAATTGGTTAGAGTAATAGATTGCAATACCACCCCCAACTTGGTTTGGTCTGCAGTTGTGAATTGCTGTGTATCCTGGTAGAGGGTAGATATCTATTGTGTCCTGCTTAAGCCAGGTCTCAGTAAGAATAATGCAGGAGAAGGGTGTCTTTAGTGATTCAAGGAGTGCCAGGAGGTCATCATAGTGTTTGCTTAATTAAGGACCTGATGTTGTAGGCTTAGAAGTCTGTCTATATTTTTGCATTTTGTTTCATGATCTTTGCTTACCATGTCGACACAGTCCTCAGGAATAAACCAAATGACCTGAAGAGGATGGAGGAGATAAGTAATTTGAATGCTCACAATGCCCTGTATCTTCTGACAAGGTGTCTAACATTGCCCAGACTAGCCTATTTCATGAGGTGTGCACCCTCCTTTGTCAAAAATTGAGTGAATATGATGCACTTCTGAGATCAATACATGGAGTTTACCTAGAGAGAGTTCCAGGGTTCAACGCCTCCGCAGCCCGGTCTGTGACCAGGCCTCTTGGAGGATCAGGGCCTGATCAACCAGGCTGTTACTGTTGGCTGCATGCAGTCCAATGTATGAACCACAGCCTGGCTGGTCAGGTACTGACTTTAGGTGCTTGTCCAGTGCCTGCTTGAAGACAGCCAGGGGTCTATCAGTAATCCCCCTTATGTATGCTGGGAGCCAGTTGAGCAGTCTTGGGCCCCTGACACTTATTGTGTTGTCTTTTAATGAGGAAACATTTAGCCACACACTGCCTTTATCAGTCCATACAAAGGAGAATGGTGAAGAACAGGAGGAGTTTGAGGTAATCAGTCTCTCAGCTTTGCATCAATGTAATCAGTCCATCAGACTCAAGGCTGAGGAACTAATTATCTCAGACTCCTCCTGTTCTTCACGATTCTCCTTTGTATGGACTGATGAAGCCAGTGTGTGGCAAAACGTTTCCTCATTAAAGATACCCAAGTGTTGCATATGTGTTTAATTTATCACCTTACAATTAGTGTAAACAACATGAGAAAGAATATAACTTGTTAAGGCAATAAAGAATTTAAAGGATATTTAAGTCTTAATTTGAAGAGAATAATAAATAAAATTAATAAAATTGTTACGTATTTACCTTAAACTTCACATCTCTTCTGCTTGCTGGGTCCTGGGAGAGGAGGTTGATGAGAGAGGAATTAGTTGGAGGAGGATTAAGGTGAGGGAGTTGGCAACGATACACGTGGGCAAAAATACATTTGGCAACAGCAATGCTGCCATGCAGCAAGACGGCAGAACTACGTAATGACGGACATTTGTTTACAATACACAAATAACCCGCACATAGAAGAGAGGAGCTTACGACGACATTTCGGTCATACTTGGACCATTTACAAAGTCACTTTGTAAATGGTCCAAGTTGGACCGAAACGTCATCGTAAGCTCCTCTCTTCTATGTGCGGGTTATTTGTGTATCGTTCCAGTCACGGTATTGTGCCTTTTTGTTATTTATTTGTTTACAATTTTTTGATGTAAATATTTTATTGCATATGTATACAGAAGGACCTCCACATTCATGAGGGTTTGGAGTGCAAATATGTTTGGTGTGCAAATATGATGTAGGAAAATATAATAATACTGGTCTGTAGCGTTTGCAAATGTTTTGATGCATAAACGTATTGTAGGGAAATATAATAATAGCATTTACTTGCCTAACAATACTGATTCCCTAACCTATTGAACCTGTTCAGGTTGTGCAGGGAGAACCATCTCTTAAATTTATCAAACCATCCTTTACTTGCTAGGAAGTCAGGATGGGTGATGGTAGGACGTCCTGGTTCTGCACTAGTGCTATCCTCATCACTAGCCAATGTATCATACAAAGTCTTTCCCTTTGCATGAATCGCATTGCTGTCTATGGAATTTCCTTTCCTATTTTGGTCTGAAATCCACACAAATAATGCTGATTCCATCTTAGACATCGCACTGTTTCTTACTTGTGACACTTGCTTCGCTGAGGGAGGAACAGTAGATGCTAGTGCCGCCCTTATCTTCGCCTCATTTTTCTTGATAGAATGTACTGTGCTTTTGTTTACATTAAATAATTTTCCAATGGAAAAATTGCTCAGATAACCTGCCCTACACTTGTCTAGCAATTTCACCTTCTCCAGATTCATGACTTTCTTTGAGCGCTTAGGGGTTGTCTCATCATTAGCAGTTGCTGCTCACTTGGGGGCCATACTTGCACCACCACACAAACACATGTGTATGGTAGGACACAAGCAATAATTGGACATGACCGACATGAATAGTAACTGGACAATGACTGAGTGAGTGGCGGATTGACGAGCTGCTGGTTAAGGGGGTAAGAGGGAGGGTAGTAGGGACACGGCAGGAAGCGTTTTCCCATACTTTTTTCCCACATTTGTTTGGTAAATATGATTGGGCGGCTGGGCATTCGCGAATGTTCGAAGCTCGCGAAAGTGGAACTTGTGAAAGTGGAGGGCTAGCTGTACATTTTTTGTTTTTATTATATTTGAATTTTTTTTTGAGCTTTTTTTATCATTGTTAATTTTTGTGTTTTATTTATTATAAATATATGTTTAAGGAAAAATTTATTTATTTCACATCCTTTTATTATGATGTAGGTAATGTTGCTGAGTGACGTAATGTCAGATGTAATGACGTTCGCTGAACTGAAATTTAGAAAAGTGGCATTAAGTCGAATTTGACCTAAGCCGAAATGACATAAAGTGGAGTATGACTGTAATTGCATAATTGAAGTTCTCTTTTTAAATGCAGTGGAACTTCAGTACTCGAAGGCTGTTTGAGTGCCGATCCGTTTGAGTATCAAACAAATTCTTCCCGATCAGTTTTCTTTTTGGTTGGCTGTTATTGTTAATCTTCGTATGCCCCATGGTGATTTATTTATACAAATAATAACAAAAACATAAAAAAATATGAAGAAACATGAAATAGTTTACAGTGAAGTTCTGGTAGGTTGTGTTCGTTTGGTCAAGTGCTGAGCTTTGTTTGAGTAGGGAGCTGTTCGAGTACCGAAGTTCCACTGTAATATGATTAGTACATTGACACCAATTAATTATTTTTGTATTAATGTAAAGGTAAATATGGAAATAATTTTGTTGAATTTGTAAAAATCTTTGGAAATTGTTTGGTACTTTGCTGTTGCTCCATTATAAGTTTTATACCTATGCTAGGGTGTGTATACGAGTTTTCCTCAGTTAATGACAAGGTCTGTTTTTCAGATCTTGTGGAGCACTTAAGGGTTCTCGGTTTTCCACGGATGGTATCCTTGGAAAACTTTTCCTTGCCCAACTTTCAGTTGGTTAGTGAAATTCTTGCCTGGGCAGTGACAACTGTGGACAGTGACCATGACCTCAACATCAACATTGAATCTGAACATGACCGTGTTATCATGGTCCGCTTTGCTGCTATGTTTTTTGTAAGCAGCCATAATACCATCTTATTGAAACTAACTGCCAACTCTCAAAACAACCACTGTTTTGCAAGTTCTTAATTAACTTTTTTACAATACTGATCATTTCCCTCTAACAAGTGTATATAAATAATAATACTTTATTTACAAAAGTAATATCTTAATAATAACAATAGTACACAGTACATAGTGTTACAAAGAAGGGAAAAAGCTTTGTTTATTCCCATTAAAGTACAGTAGTGTTACTAAGCTGGGATTACACTTTGTTTATTCCATTAAAGTACAGTAGCAGTACCTTGTGAAAATAATGGTTTGTTTAAAGGGTAAATTAACAATATAGTGATACACAAAGCAGCAGACAATGGTCAAGGTAAGAAAACTACCAAGACTTGAAGGCTCATGAAAATAAAAAATGATATAAAAAACTTGAGTTTTCAAATTTCTCAGTCTTTATTTTTGCAGTTCTATTGTTTTTAAAATTCTGTGTCATCATCTAAGATAAAACATTTGATTTTGTTTTTTGTAAGAAAACCATGGATAATCAAAAAAAAAACAAATTAGGAAGCTTGAAAATTTGAGAGTTAGGCTGTAATAGTACAACAAAAATTTAGGTACACCATAGTACAGTACAGTACTTCATTATTACAGAACTGTGTTTATTATTGCTGATACTCTATTACTGTATTTATTAAGATGGTTTTTCAGTACTTTTACTGGGGTATATTTTTACATTATAATATTCTCCTCTCTCTCTCTCAATAGTATACTAAATTAGGAGTGCACTTAAACACCCTAAAGCTGTACGCTGCAGACAAGTTGGCAGTTCGTGAGCTGTTAAAGATTACCACATGTGTGTACAAGGCTGCAGAGTCTGCCTTACTCTCCACACCTGATGACCACCACCACTGTCTTCCTCAGGAATCTTCACCAGTAGTGTCAGTAAAGGTCAGTCTTCACAATTATGACTTATCACAGTATACAGATAAGTGATGAGACTACCAAAATTTTTGGTGATACCAATACCATAAAAATTAGCCATTACCTAGCAATACTGTATAGGTTTAGTACATTCCCATGATGATGATGGTATTTAAGTATTCTTAAGCTTTAACTGTTGCTATGTTGGTGTGAAACAGGTGCAGCAAACTTCTAAGCTTCACTGTTGTAGCATTATAGACTCTTCAGGGGGTTGCCTTGTTGGCAGTGAAGAGCTCTTGGTCCAAGGAATTGGAGCCATCCTCCTTTTCCATTGATTGAATCTGAGTGCCTCCTATTCTCCCCTTTCCAAGGCACTATGTGACAACTATGAATAAAATAATATTAATAATATGTAATTTTGAATTTTATACTTTTTAAGGGCCTGTTCTTGGGGTGCCCCATGGCTTGGTTGGCAGTGCACTCAGCTCACATACTGAGTACCTGTGGTTTGATCCCGGGGCATGGACTGAAAAGTTGGGTATGCTTCCTTGCACCTGCTGCCCCTGTTCACCTAGCAGTTAGTAGGCACCTGGGTGTTAGTTGACTGTTGTGGGTCAGCATAGTTCCACAACACTGAACACTTGCTGAATGGGTCTGAGTCCTGTCGAGATGATCCTCAGGTGTTCTTGGACTCTTTGAAGCATAGAATACTTTGATGAATAAAAAGAGCTTTTCTACACTGCATCCTCCTCCCCCCACTTCTGTTTTCCCATTAATTTGAGTTGTCCTTGTGTCACATAATTGACATATCAGTACTACTAGCAGGATTCAAGGCTGACAAATCTTTGCCACTGACCCAAATTAGGTGGTCAAAGTAAATTCTGGTTGTTGCATGGAAAGAAGACTAGAAAGTTTTGTATGACTGAGTGTGCATCAAGCAGGAGGCCAAGTGTATTTTTGACATCATAATGCTTGGAAGACATTTTCTTCATCAAAGTTAATTATGTTTAGGTAAGACACATATGCAACAGTTAGGTATCTTTATTTCAAAACGTTTCGCCTTCACAGTAGGCTTCTTCAGTTGAGTACAGCAAAGTTGATAGAAGCAGAAGAGACTTGAAGACGATGTAATCAGTCCATCACCCTTAAAGTTTTGAGGTGGTCAGTCCCTCAGTTCTTCTTCTATCAACTTTGCTGTACTCGACTGAAGAAGCCTACTGTGTAGGCGAAATGTTTCGAAATAAAGATACCTAACTGTTGCATATGTGTCTTACCTAAACAACCTGTTGGTATTTTATACCATTTTATTGTTCACTCTGTCAGACACTGCAACACAAGGGTATCTTGGTACAGACTTGGAACCATTTCAACAACCTCTACTAGTGAGAATGGCTGGATTTGAGAGGGACCTGACCTCTCAATGTCTACATTCTTACTCTACTAGTGACCTACGTCTCACCTCCTGGCGCTATATAAGGCTCCATCCTATCACTTCAACTCCATATTATTCCAGACAATGGAACAATACTCTTCTCCAGACTGAGGGACTGACCACCTCAAAACTTTAAGGGTGATGGACTGATTACATCGTCTTCAAGTCTCTTCTGCTTCTATCAACTTTGCTGTACTCGACTGAAGAAGCCTACTGTGTAGGCGAAACGTTTCGAAATAAAGATACCTAACTGTTGGTGCTCAGTGGTCAGTCGTCACGTGAGGTCACAGACCCTGAGCTGCTTTGGGGATTAGTGTGGACGGTTACAAAGCATGGCTTGCTTCTGCAGTGTTTTAAAAATTGAGGTTGGAGAGTTGAAGGAGGAGGTCTTGCTTCTCCAGGAGGAGATTAGGAGGCTGAAGGTCCACCTCAATGGGTCTGGGAGAGAGTGTGAGGTGGCTGGAGTTGTGGGGAATGAGGCTTCTAGCAGCGAGGTGCAGTCTGTCTCTCGCTGTGAGGAGGCTGTAGTTGGGGAGGCAGCAACGGCTACCAGCAGTGAGGTGCAGCCCAGCACCTGCTACAAGTGGCGAGTAGTTCACAGTAATGGAAGGCGCATCAGAGTAAGGAAAGTTAAGAGTGAAGATCTGAAGGTAGGAAATCGCTTCTCTGTTCTTCAGGATGAATGTACTTCAGTGGCCAGTGAAGGTAAGGGTACTACTGCCCCTGCTAATGGAGGTAAGCGCATTCTTGTGGTTGGTGACTCTCAGGTAAGATACATTGACCGTGCTTTTTGTAATAGGAATAAGAAGATGAGAGATAGAGTGTGCTTCCCTGGAGCTGGTGTTGGGGACATTGTCAACAGGCTGGATAATATCATGTCAGGTAATGGGAGCAAGCCCATTATCTGTCTCAGTGCTGGTGGAAATGATATTGGGAAGGGTAGGAGAGAAGAGCTGCTAGATAAGTACAGGTCAGCTATAGATTTCATTAAGTCTAAGGGAGGGATCCCAATCATATGTAGCATCTTGCCTAGAAGGGGAGTAGGAAATGAATGGTTGTCTAGGGCAATTGGTGTAAATTGCTGGCTAGACAGATACTGCAAGGAACTTGCAATCCCATTCATTGACAACTGGAACAACTTTTATGGCAAACATGATATGTATGCAAGGGATGGGGTACATCTCTCTGGGGCTGGGGTGGTAGCACTTGCAGACTCGATTGAGAAGGCCATTGGTGAAATGCCTATGATTTTAAACTGATGGAAGATAGAGGTATGGGTGTGTGTGGGAAACAAGCAGGTTGCAACACTTGGGTTGGAAACAGTAAATGTATAAAAGGCATTCAGCATGAAGTTATAAATAAAGACAATAGATCAGGTCAGCAAACAAAGGGGGACAGCAGAGGGCAGCAAGGGACTAGCTCCCTTAAGGTTTACTATACTAATAGCAGGAGTGTAAGAAATAAGATAGATGAGCTAAGATTAATTGCAAGTGCAGGAAACATAGATATTATTGCTATAACAGAGACCTGGCTCAATCTGAAAGATAGAGAGATGCCCTCTGAATGTCACATACAAGGCTATAAATTATTCCACACTGACAGGGTCAACAGGAAAGGTGGTGGAGTAGCGATGTATGTCAGAGACAATTTAAATTGTTGTGTTAGACAAGATATTAAATTAGAAGCGTCAGCCACTGAATCTGTTTGGTTACAGCTTCTCGAGGGCCGAGAAAAACTGATTTGGGTGTGATTTACAGGGCCCCAAATCTTGATAGGGAGTGCAGTAAACCTCTATGGGACGAAATTCGTAAGGCATCTACATACGAAAATGTTGTGCTAATGGGAGATTTCAACTATAGACAGATTGACTGGAGCAATTTGACAGGAAATTTAGAGTCAGGTGACTTTCTTGATACGATCCAGGATTGTTTTTTAAAACAGTTTGTGACAGAGCCAACTAGGGGAAATAACCTCCTTGACTTGGTTCTTGCCAGTAGGGAAACACTAATTAATAATCTTGAGGTTAATGATGAGCTTGGGGAAAGTGATCACAAATCACTCAGTTTTAATATATCATGGAATTCCCCTAATAATGGCAATCAAGTCTCCGTCCCTGACTTTCGCTTGGCTGATTTCATAGGACTGAAAAATACTTAGGTGGGCTAAAACTGGAATGACCTGACTAAGGGTCAGGTAAGTGGTGATGGTTGCCGATATGATGCTTTCCAGGGCATAGTTCTAGCTGCTCAGTCAAATTATGTTCCAAATAGGGAAATCAGATCAAACAAAAATGATCCTAAATGGATGAACAATAGATTAAAATATCTGATTGGTCAAAAGAGAGGCATATATAGGCAAATCAAAAGAGGAGAGGACAATTAAGAAATCGATATATTCAGTTAAAGAGAGAAATAAAAAAGGGAATTAGAAAAGCAAAAAGAGATTATGAGGTTAAAGTTGCAAGAGAATCGAAGACTAACCCAAAAGGATTCTTTCAGGTTTACAGAAGTAAGATCAGGGACAAGATAGGCCCACTCAAAAGTTCCTCGGGTCAGCTCACTGACAGTGATAAGGAAATGTGTAGAATTTTTAACACATACTTCCTCTCAGTTTTTTTTTACACAGGAGGATACCAGCGATATTCCAGTAATGATAAATTATGTAGAACAGGACGATAATAAACTGTGCACTATTAGGGTCACAAGTGACATGGTCCTTAGGCAAATAGATAAATTAAAACCTAACAAATCCCCAGGCCCTGATGAACTGTATGCAAGGGTTCTAAAGGAATGTAAAGAGGAGCTTAGCACACCTTTGGCTAATCTTTTCAACATATCACTACAAACTGGCATGGTGCCAGATAAGTGGAAAATGGCAAATGTGATACCTATTTTCAAAACAGGTGACAGGTCCTTAGCTTCGAACTATAGACCAATAAGCCTAACCTCCATAGTGGGAAAATTTATGGAATCAATAATTGCCGAGGCAGTTCGTAGCCACCTTGAAAAGCATAAATTAATCAACGAATCTCAGCATGGTTTTACAAAGGGGCGTTCCTGCCTTACGAATTTATTAACTTTTTTCACTAAGGTATTTGAGGAGGTAGATCATGGTAATGAATATGATTTGTGTATATGGACTTCAGTAAGGCTTTTGACAGGGTCCCACATCAGAGACTATTGAGGAAAATTAAAGCACATGGAATAGGAGGAGAAATTTTTTCCTGGATAGAGGCATGGTTGACAAATAGGCAGCAGAGAGTTTGCATAAATGGGGAGAAATCAGAGTGGGGGAGTGTCACGAGCGGTGTTCCGCAGGGGTCAGTGTTGGGCCCCCTGCTGTTCACAATCTACATAAACGACATAGATGAGGGCATAAAGAGCGACATCGGCAAGTTTGCCGATGACACCAAAATAGGCCGTCGAATTCATTCTGACGAGGACATTCGAGCACTCCAGGAAGATTTGAATAGACTGATGCAGTGGTCGGAGAAGTGGCAGATGCAGTTTAATATAGACAAATGCAAAGTTCTAAATGTTGGACAGGACAATAACCATGCCACATATAAACTAAATAATGTAGATCTTAATATTAC